TCTGCCTCTGCTACGTTTATCTGCTCGAGGTCGCCATTCTAACAATCTTCTAGTCCACCTGTCTTTAGATGTTCTCACCACATGACCTGCCCATCTCCATTTCATTCGAGTTTATTAGGAATTTTGTCTCTTTTAGTTATTCCAAGCATGGCTCTCTCCATGGCTCTCGGGGCTACTCTTAAATTTTCTGCTGACTTTTTCGTTAATGTTAGAGTTTCCGCTCCATATGTAATTACCGGCAAGACGCATTGTTCATAAACTTTCCTCTTCAAGCATATGGGTATATCACTTTTAAAGGTCTCCCGCAGTTTGCCAAAAGCAGCCCAACCCAAACCTATTCTGCGCTGTATCTCGTGTGTTTGGTTGTTCTTTCCGATTTTTGTATTTCGTGCCCGAGATATTTGTATATATGTGTTTCTTTTATGTCGGGTCACCTATTCTGATGTTCTGTATCATCATTAAGTTTGTCATTATTTGCGTTTTACTCGTATTTATCCGGAGACCGACTTTTAATGAGGCCTGCACTAATTCTTCGAGCATCTGCTTTGAATCTCCGATGTTATCTGAGACAAGGACGATGTCATCTGCGAATCTGAGATGTGTCAACCTTTCACCATCGATATTTATGCCCCTATTCTCCCAAGAGAGTGATTTCATTGCGTATTCAAGAACAGCTGTAAAAAGTTTAGGCGAAATAGTTGGCCCCTTGTCGAACTCCTCTGCCTACCTCAATTTTATCTGTTGTTTCGTGAAGTTTTACAGTTGTGGTGGCATTACTATATATGTATTCTATCAGCCTTGTATACCTATAATCTACTCTTCCCTGCTCCAATGCTGCTATTCTACTGTGTCAAATGCTTTCTGGGAGGGACCAGTAGATGGTATCAATTTCTTACATGTATTTCGTAAGTACGCAAAACTTCGACCACTCAATGTGACACATCAGCGATTTTTCTTGACGTATCGAAAAAATCAACGCTGTAACCTGCCAGTTGGAATCAATACAATTGGAGGTATGCCAAAAAAGATAGCGGAATTTCTTGGACCCTCCAACGCCATTGAATATACTGGTCATTTTTTCCGGCGCAGCTCTGCAACAATACTGGCAGATTCAGTAGCGGATATAACAGTTTTAAAGCGACATGGAGGATTGGGATCAAGCTCGGTTGCTGAAGGTTACATTGAAAATTCAATTGAACAGAAAACCGAAATAGCAAAAAGAATAATGGGACAGAAAGATACGTCAAATAAGAAAATAAAAGCAGTTCACGTAGAAGCAGAAGCTACCAGCATTGCCAGTACAATAAATTTACTTATTCCGACTCCTACAACTTGCATTTCTCTTAGAGATGAAAAGTGGGATGTCTCTTGTATTCACTTTAATAATTTAAATAATTGTACTTTTAAGATTTTTAATAAATAAATATTTTCATTGTTTCTAACGTTTCATTTTTTACTTTTAGGCACTAGTAAAAATAAACACACAAATAAATATCAAAGACTGTCAATTTCGAAACGCTTTAACAAAAAATACATTTTTAAAAACCCCTAAAAATATAGTATTATTTTGAACACGTAGGTCTACTAAATCCAAATTTTAAGACGCTATTGTTATACAATTTAACCATTCTAAAACTTTTTTCTTTCTTTATGTGTGGGATTCTCATTTTAGATACCTCTCACGTGGTACCACCATTCGTATTCCAGTACCCATTCTTATTCTGATTTCTTTTATAGCCGCTCGCATTAAACGTGTGGAAAGAATAGATACGTTTCGAGTTTTATTACGGTACCATTTTCCACCTTCGCTCTGGTACTTTATGGTCTTTTGTAGGTGCACGTGTGGCCGTACTTATTTCTTGTATTTTTGTCTGGCTGACTTCTATCTGTGAATGAAATCTGGAATTGTCTCTTGCAATGTAAATAAATGTTAATAAACTGGGATATACAGTACGACCTGTAGATTCTAGATTCTACTTCTATGTTATACAGAGGGTTCAAGATATTTTGAAATATATACAATGTGCAAAAGCCAAATGGTTTTCCTCATTAAACAATTTTGTTTTTATAACGTTTCATTCAACAATAAAACATTTACTACAATATAAACATACTAGCGTGTCTCGCGACTTCGATCGCATCGAATTAACCATTTGTAATGGTGATGATAAAGCAAAGCAAGAATTTCCATTAACATACAAACTGGATAAAATTTTCTCACATTTATGTCAGCATGTGAAAAAACAATATGGCGATATTATTATATAACTTGGTAATATTTGAGGGGTAGTTTCATCTCGTTGGAATTTGACTTTCGGAAAATCCGTTTGCCAAAAATAAGCTTTTTACGTCAAGCAGTTTAAGCAGAATCGTGGTTAATCAATTACACAACTTTTTGGAAGACCCTGTATAATTTAAAAAAAAACAAAATAAATTATGCGTTTCCAAGCGTTTTCCCGAAAGACTAACCGTTTTTTAAATAACAAATATTGTAATATTTGAGGGGCGTTTTCACCCTTTTGGAACTTGAGATTCGAGAAACCCCTCCTTATCGAACCTCTACACCCCACAGTCAATCCATTTGCCAAAAATCAGCTTTGAACGTCAAGCAGTTTAAGCAGAATCGTGATTTCTCAATGGTCATATTTTCTGAAACACCCTGTATAAATTTTTAAAAAATCTTAAAATATGTAAAACAACAAAATAAAATATACGTGTTTAAGAGTTTTTCCGAAAAACTCCCAGGTTTTTAAATAAAAGATATTGTAATATTTGAGAGGTGGTTTCACCCCCTTGGAACTGGAATTTCGAAAAATCCCTTCATATCGAACCTCTGCACCCTAGAATCAACCTGTATGCCAAAATTGAGCTTCCTACGTTGAGTGGTTTGAGCAGGATCGTGATTAATCAGCGAGTCAGTCACTTAAGTACCATATGATCGAATAAAAACGGCGTCAGCAATGGCTATGAAATGAAGATCGCTGTCATATAATATTCAGATCAAAGTATATAATTTTCTCAAATTGAACATAAAGGCAGCTAAATATGAAATAGGTACCCAAATATGGACCTTGATTTTGATTGTATAAGTATAATTAAAAGAACAAAAAATAAAGTGTATTTTCCCTGTTGTAAAATTTATTATTCTATAACCGCACAAAATAATAGCAATTTTCTTCTTATAACGATACAAGCAATGATCAATCTACAGCTTGTGTCAGAAAAACTGATTAAAATATAACATGAACAGACCGAATGAAAGCTTGTAATAAAAAAAACACGAAGATAAAAATAAAGAATAACAAAGATGAAGAAGTAGAAAAAAAAGATCAGGTATATAATGTAAATAAAGGTGAACCGATCAATTTTACCTTAGTAAATTAACTGTCAAAATTTAATAAGCTATTAGGAGGTAGAAAATAACTGAGGAAGTTGATATTTTTAACGCCTGCGTTAATCAAGAGATCTCTTGATTAAATTATTAAATTTAATAAAGTTTTTTTCGACATTTTTTTTTCATTGGAACAAGCATGAAGCTGAGATGCCGGCGGTTCTCAAAATGTAAGCATTATTTTTTAAAATTTTAATCAAAGTTAAATCACTCGGATATTTTTAATTTATTTTAAAAATGGCCCTGTATATTATACAGGGTGTTCCAGAAATAAGTGCAAGTATTTGAAGGGGTGGTAGATCTCGATAAAAGAATCATATTTTCTCTTTATCGTTTTTCAAATAAGTCCAAAATAACAGAGTTATTTTACTTTGAAAATTTCCAAAAAAATGATTTTTTTCTCAAATTTTGAGAACCACTGGATCTTTTCTGGATTTTCTTTCTTGTAAATTTAATCTACTACCTATGTTGCCATATTATCAAGAAATTATGTTTTTTAACTAAAAACTAAAAAAAAAATTCAAAAAAAATTTTCGAAAAAAAACTCATATGCGTGTTTCTGGGGTTGAACTATACTACCTGTTAAAATAGTTGCACTTATTTCTGGGACACCTTGTATACGCGTTCTCATTTTTCTTGACAAAATGGTGACAATAAATTTTAAATTTATTTTCAATCTAAAAAAAACTATTTTAAAAAACTCTCTATACAGGGTGAATCTTAAATAAGTGCAAATATTTTAGGGGTAGTATATTTCAACTTCGGAAACAGCTCTTTGAAGTTTTTCCCCCCAAAAAATTGAAATTATAGATTTTTTTTGTAAATTTATTTAATTTTTGGTTAAAAAACTAAATTTCTTGATAATATGGCAACATAGGTAGTAGATTAAAATTATAAAAAAAAGAAAACCCTAAAAATATCCAGTGGTTCTCAAAATTTAAGAAAAAAATTTTTTTTTTAATTTTCAAAGTTAAATAACTCGGTTATTTTGGACTTATTTGAAAAACGGTAAAGAAAAAATATGCCTCTTTTATCGAGATCTACCAGCCCTTAAAATATTTGCACTTATTTAAAATTCACCCTGTAGAATATCTAACATTCGATACGCTCTAACAAAACATTCTTGTTTACCAAGAAGTACCAACTAAAATTCATTTAAATCAAACAAATTTTAAAAATACCTGAAATACCTTTTATTTACTACCAAATTTATTTAACGTATTTTTAATTAGAATTCTTTGGTACTTAGTGGTACTACTCTGTACCCTTCAAAAATATTATATGCAGCTCAAATCAAGCGAGACACACTTATTGGTACGACCCTGATGCTTCGAAAAAACACGAAAAAGGACCCATCACAATAACAACCTCATAACCCTGGTGCCTAAGCCCTCAGGGCACCGAAAACGTACCAGCTGCACACAACAGTACCCTGCGTGGACAACACACAGAAAAGCGGACCCTTTAAGGCACCACCCTGAAGACGAGGACAGAACACCCTACCCGAAACATCGTGAAGAACGAGTTAGACAGAGAAAGACACACAACGTTTCGGAGCCAGGTACTACCGCCGCTGTCAGAGTGTTCTCTCTTCTCTTGGCACAACTTAATCTCGGAGAATTTTCAGTGGAGAGACGGATTTTAGCGGTCATCGAGTGTGGCACGGCTACGCTGGCTCGATTTTGAGTTGTCTTTCGCGCGTTCAAGAATAGAATACGAGTGGTGTTTGGAGTTATCCTCGTCTTTTGTTATTGTTTATCGAAGTTCGATTGTTTACTATCATTTGAAACGCGAGTACTGTTGAAGAAGAACTAGGTAAAGTTTAGAAAGACTTAAAAAGTGTTTTTTGTTGATGTGCACGTCTGTTCTTCTGGATTTTAATACTAGGAAGTAATGTGATGCTAGTTGGAGAAAAATATCTGATGTAAGTAGTGGAGATTGACTATTATGTGATGATTTCTTTGGAATGGTTAGAAGTATTGGTTATTGTTCAGTTCCTGATGAAAATGTAGGTGTAACTTCGAGTCTTCGAGACCATCTAGATTGTAGAATGTCCAGTAACTTGAATCAAGCATTTCTGGAACTTCAAATCATAAAGATGATGGTCTTGAAGCTAATCTTTTAGAGGATCTTCCTCAATGTACTGAACTTTTAGTTTACCTTGTGTTTTTTGTTTGGAGTTATCTTCGTCTTTTGTTGTTGTTTATCGGTTGTCGATTGTTTTCTGGCATTTGAAAAACTGTTGAAGAAGAACTAGATAAAGTTTAGAAAGACTCAAAAAGTGTTTTTTTTTATGTGGATCTCTGTTCTTCTGGATTTTAATAATAGGAACTAATATGATGCTAGTTGAAGATAAATATCTGATGTAAGTACTGGAGATTGATTATTACATGATGATTTTTTCGAATTGGTTAGGTGAAGATTGGTTGGTGAAGTGGAGCATAGAGTCTTTTAGACTAGTGGCATGTTTAGATATTTTGTGATAGAGATCTCTTATATTGAAGAATGTTGAATTGACTTCAATTAAGCTCCCTTCGAGAACTTGGATTCACAAAAATGATGGTCTTGAAGCTAAACTTTTGTAGTGTTCTCTTCTTCCAAGCTACTGAACTTTTAATTTACCTCCTCAAGATAAGAAAACTCTTGTAGAATGCAGATGTAAGCTTACATAAAACTGTTGAGTTATTTTTGAAATATTTGGAAATCTGTTGTTTTCATAGTGTTTGCTGTTTCTTTCAGATGATTACTCAGATACCTAAGATATTCTTTTTCTGAGCTTTTTGTGTTTGTCTTTATCTTTGAATATTTTTCTAGTAGGAGTTTATTTGGTTTATTTTCCAAATTATATAGGAATATTAAGAGAAAAAAGACTTATATGTTAGACCATATATTATTAAATGATCACAAGTGTTTTGGCGACAAACCTAATCTTCTAATGTGCTTGGAATTTACTTTTCCATGGCACAGGCACATGTTTAAAAAAAGTTAAAGAATAACTGGCATAAATATTGCTGGTAAAATTAGTACATTTCTTTTACTTTATACCGGGTGCGTCTCAAATGTTGGTCACCCCTATAATTTTTTTATTTTTTCAGATAAAAGAAACGAGATTTTGTATGTTAGTATATGACATAAATTAAGATTGATTGACGTATTCAATTGTTTTTGGTCACTTCCTGTTTTACCGGAAATGACTACAACTTTTGATTTTTAAATGGCCTCCTTGGTATTTTTTTACTATATTCGATATAAAATGACATTCTGAATAGAATGCCATATCACATGTCAATATTTGACATTCTCGCTCGATAAAAAATCTTATTTTAACTTTCAATCTAGAGTGCCTTGGCTATGTTAAAAACACTAATCCTTAATCAAGAAACCTTGGAAAAATAGATAATATGATCGTCTAATGTTTTTAGTGTCTTGTTCTGGCCGGTTAAAAAATACTCAAATCGTATTTTTAATCATATTTCAATTTTTTCAAATGGAACGAGGGTGGCTCATTAGCATATTTGGAAAAAGCATTTTTTTACGAATAATTTGATACCCCACACTTGGTATTTCGAGTCAAATTTTCGTTACGAACCGCAAGTTATAATTTCAAATAAACCAAATGCAAAAATGTCAAAAGTTAACAATGAGTGTCATTTTATATTCAATAAAGTAAAAAAAATACCGAGGGTGCCATTTAAAAATCAAAATTTGTAGTCATTTCCGGTGAAACAGGAAGTGACCGAAAACTATTGAATACGTCAATCGATTCTAATTTATGTCATATACTAATATACCAAATCTCGCTTTTTAACTAAAAAAATTAAAAAGTTATAGGGGTGGCCCACTTTTGAGACGCACCCGGTATAGTGAAGCAGAATTTGGTGTAGACTTTCGATTATTAGGAAAAAACACATTCCAAATACATTTTTATATTCTAGTTTCTTTATTATAACTGGCTCAAAATTTGAAACATAATTTTAAAACGTTTTTGCGATAAATAAATCGAAGATTCTTCTTTCTGAAGATACACCCTGTACAGAAAAACAAGATTTCGGAACTCGGTCGTGAAAACAACTAACCAAAAATATTATTGATGAAAAATACAAACAGCAATTAATTGACGAAGGCCGTGTTTATTCTTTTCGGTACGTTCCTAGTCCGAAATTTTATGTTTTCTGTCCAATATGGACGCATTGACGTCACAGGCGATTTATTACCGTGCCACAATAGGATGTGGAATAATTTTTTTATTCATTAGAAATCAGGCTCACGTAACTGAGTGTCACAACACGCGAACACAATATAAAAATAATTTATAAATATAAAAATATTATAGAAATATTTTTCCTTATAATATTCCTTATATTTGGACTAAATTTTCTCGAAAATAAAGACATAGTTTAAAATTCCGTTACAATACGGGAATAGATTGAAGTTTTCTGATTATAGTGATATATAATTTATATGGTTTTGTAACAAATTGCCCGCTATTTTATGGCAAATGCCGGAAGCTCTACAAACCTTAATCAAGCCTTAATCAAAGCACGTGTGTTGGGAATTTTGGGTACGGCAACACGACAAGATCGGGCTAAGCCAGGCAGATTTCTGAAATATAATATATATTTCCTTCCACACACCCGCTTTGCCCGACCCCTAAGAGCGACCCGAAAGTACAGCGTAAATTCTTGACAACTCCAAAAAATGTATTGCAAGGTTTGGCTATCCAGCAAAAACTACAATTTACTCGAGAGTAATGCCATGCTAATGCCAGGTTTGATTATTTTGTTAAGCAATGTGTAGCTAAATTATTTGAATTTTTAGCCTCTTGTACAACTTTGGGATTTGTAGCAAAAATGCCTCAAAGATTTAATCAAAATAAACAAGAGCTCATTTCTAAGCTTACAAATTATTTTTCTCGAGAAAGAGACGCTGGTAGAACACTCTTGGCTTGTATATGAAGTAATTACAATGTAAAGGTATAATATTCTATGCTTTAGAAGCAGGAATTTCAACAGTCCAAAGGTTTGGAACTAAAGGGATCTGATGAAGAGTTCTAACTGATGAAAGTGTGTTGATGAGAACCAAAAGGCGTGCTTTCAATTCAAAAATTGCTATAAATTGATACTGTTTTCTTCAATAGCAAATATCTCCAACAAAAATAAAGCTAGTAAGGCGAATCAAAAAACAAACTATCGAGAAAAGATGCATCTTTTTGACGAGGAGGTTGATAAATTCGTTACTTTGTTAAATTATTCCACAGGGTGTTTCAAACTTTCGCCAAAACATGAGCATTTTGTTTTTTCCTCATATAATAAAATGATACGACTTAAACAATGAAAAATCAAATAATTTAGCTAGACATTGCTTAAAAAATCATCAAAATCGGCCCACTAGAACAAAATTTAATGACGAATTTTAAGATATCTCACTCATTCTTCAATAGCAAGAAGTAGAGCTATTTTATTTTTAGTTATTGCCGTGTTTTTGATAAAAAATTTCTCAGTTAAAATGAGATATAGTAGACAACCGAAAACGAGACGTCTAAATAGGCACCGAAAAATAAAATTGCTTCGATCGGGACCCCTGCCTAAAACTCAACACAAAGACCTATTCATAAAATTGACAGGGGTCTCACCGAAGATAAATTTAGACTTTAGTGGCATATGGGTGTGTATGTACGTCTGCCGTCTGCCCAATAATTGCTCGCCTTTTCATTGGTTCTCTGAAAAATACGACCAGAAACGTCACAAATGACACAGAAAAGATATTTTCTTCATTTCCAAGTCTTGACGTTTGCAGCTTTAAAGTTTGGCTTGATTTATTGGATTCTTTCGTCTCATTTTGGAGAAAACATTCAATGATACAAAGTCTGACGCTCTTGACATCTTTATTTCCTAATAAAACATTTGGTTTTCGTCAATAAAATTTGTAATTAAATAAATTTTATATTGGTGAAACATCTAGACCCTTAAAAATTCTAAGAACATAAAGATTATTTGAGAACAGACAATTTTTACAAATCTAATATTTGTGAGCATTCATGGGACACAGGACACAGAGTCGATTTTAACAACGCAAAAATTGTAATGAAAGAAGCGATAGACTAAAAGAAAAATAAAAGAAGATTTTTTAAAATAATCTAATAAAAATAAATGTATTGCCCATGCATCTGTAGATGTTAGTAATATATGGTAATCGCTTCTTTGATTTTAAAGAACATAACATACGTAAAAATTAAAAACAAATTAAAAAATAATCATACAGAAAGTTTGAACCTTTTGGTTTTACCTTATTAAGTAATTGTTATCAGGTAGTAATCGTTAATTTTGAACTTGATATAATGTTATTTTAACAGAACGTCAACGGTTTTTATACAAGTGTTCTCGAATAAATAAATAGATAAATGCCTTTATTGATTTTAAAGAATTTTACAATTTGTAGGCAAGGGTAAAGTACATAAAATACAACAAATTAAAAAATAATCATACAGAAAGTTTGAACCTTTTGGTTTTACCTTATTAAGTAATTGTTATAAGGTAGTAATCGTTAATTTTGAACTTGATATAATGTCATTTTAACAGAACGTCAACGGTTTTTATACAAGTGTTCTCGAATAAATAAATAGATAAATGCCTTTATTGTCAAAAAATTTTACAATTTGTAGACAAGGGTAAAGTACATAAAATACAAACAAAGTAACAAAGTAAACAAACAAAACAGAATACAAAACAAGTATACAAATTACAAAAAATTATATTGTAAAATATATTTTATAAAATTTTAGTACTAATAAAAGCCTAACTTTTTGGTACTTAATCACCGTTTCTACATAATTCTGTCCCATATTCGAAGAATATTATTGTTTGTCTTGAGTTATTAAGGTGATTTCGTGAGAATGAGTTAAATCAACAACGTGAAACTGCCACA